GCCGTAGGGACCGTGGGGCCGTAGGGACCGTGGGGCTGTGGGGCCGTAGGGACCGTGGGGCTGTGGAGTCGTAGGGACCGTGGGGCCGTAGGGACCGCCGGGCTGTGGGGTCGCAGGGACCGAGGGTCTGTGGGTCGTAGGGACCGTGGAGTTGTGGGCTATGAGGGCCGTGTGGACAGCGGGGACGGGGAGACAGGTTGTGACTTCGCCGTTATTTCAGACCTCGCTTTTCCCTATCACAATCCCCAGGCCAGTGAAGACCCATTACAATCCTTGTATAACTTCAGGAATATTGCAGGCCAGTGAAGGCCTATTACAATCCTCGTGTTATTGTACGAGTATTGTAGGCCGATGAAGGTCGTGTTAAAGGAATATTGCAGGCCGGTGAAGGCCGTGTTGAAGGAACATCACAACTTCGGGAAGTCTACAAATGTAACCTGCTTTAAAACTAAGCTCGCACTAGCGCTGCTTTGCTCGTGTAAGGATAGGGTATTCCTAACTTGAGAGCTCACATTTCCTAGATTTATTATTACTACAGGGAATGTGTCAATTAATTCCTAGTCGAGCTCGAGTAAGCAATTAGCTTTAATTGAGGTAATTTAGATCATCAGCGTCGCCGCTAACACCCACGCGACCTGCTAATTGTCGTAATTCAATTTGCTGAATGAAGTCCAGAATAATTCAACACTACGTATTGAGAACGATGGTGAAATACTCTATATGTTATATGATTAACTTAACATATAGATGCAGTCATCGTTAAATGATGGCATCGCCGTTCATGCTTCACTGCCTCTTTGATGTTTTACTGTTGGCTGCAGGTATCGAATTGCTCGCAGTCTGTTAATGTCGCTGTTATTCATTACCTCCACTGCCAATAATGACCTACCTCCACTGCCAGTAATGACCTACTTCCTCAGCAATGACCTATCTCCTCTGCCAGTAATGACCTACCTCCACTGCCAGCAATGACCTACCTCCTCTGCCAGCAATGACCTACCTCCTCTGCCAGCAATGACCTATCTCCTCTGCCAGCAATGATCTACCTCCTCTGCCAGCAATGACCTATCTCCTCTGCCAGTAATGACCTACCTCCACTGCCAGTAATGACCTACCTCCGCTGCCAGCAATGACCCATCTTCATAACCATCCCCAGCGTCATGCTGCATATAAAACAACAGCAATACTACACGTAGCTTCGCCACCGTTTTCCAGCTTGGGCATAATCGTTACTTTCAACTGCCGCGCTCACCAAATGCTTCTTGTCGTAAGCTTGCCTTTATTAAGCAAG